GGGGTTGTTTTTGCGGGGGCGGGGGTCGGGTAGCCCCGCAGCGGGGTTCCGGGGTTGAAACCCCTACCCCGGCTTGGGCCCCGGGGATCCCCGCGTGACAACGCTAGGTACAGCAACCCTGTACCACTGAATTATCCCAGATTAAAGCAAGAATCACGATCCAAAAGCAGTTCCGACGCTCAGCTTTCCTTTTCACTCCTGCATAATTTTATTTTCTTTTATCTCTTTACCAAACCTTCCTTCTTGGTAGTGACCTGTCCCAATACCTATCCCATAACCAGGGAAAAGGATGCTTGGCGCGCAGTTGAATGGACCGAACTTGTCATTTCACCTCCGCTTCCTCGGGCAGACTCGGCGGCTACCACGGATATAGGCCGGTCGTGCTCTGCTGTACAGCAGGGCGCCGAGCCTGTGTGGACCAAAGGAAGGTCCTGTGGCGCACCCTTTTGTTGAGGGCAACGTGACATGGACTGGTCTGCGCCGAGGCACAGCCTGGGTACGAGGAACAACAGAGGTACATGATACGTCTATAGGCCAGAGCATCAGAGCGAGGATTGGTACCAAGCAGGGACTTGGTACACAGAGGAGAGCCGGGATACCGCGCACTCCGACATAATACCAAACCCCCACCCAGCGTCCCCGTTGGGTCAAGACGTATCGCACTTCCAGTATAAAACCAGAACGAGCGAGCAACACTTTCATTCATTCCGATTAGCGACTCGCTGTGATACCCACACTGCGGTTCTCCACAGTTAGCTTTCTGCTTTACTTTCAGCGCTCGCTCTCCCCTTCAGCGCTCGTGTTGACCCTTCCTTTTCCCTGCGTTCACCTATCTCTTTCCGCACTAATCACCTCTCTCTCGCAGCATTCACCTTCTTTTTCCGCCTTCGCTTTCCTTTCCTGTGTCCGTTTTTTTTTTTTTTTTATACTATCGTCCCTCTTTTCTGCGCTTGTCTTATTTGTCTCTTCTTTTCTATGATCACCATTTCCTCCAGTGCTTGTTCCTGTTCTTCTAGTCTAGCCTTCTCTCTTTGTGCCAGTTCCTTTCTCTCTCTACGTTAGCCTTTCCTCTCAATAGTCGTCTTTCTGTATTAAGTTGTAGTTCTCCATATCCCGCACAACCATTTTCTACCCTCTCTCTTTAATAGCCTTTTACTTTCTGATTTCCTAATCCACCTCGTCATTGTGAACCTCGCTTAAACAGCCTCGTTCTTGTCATAGCCCTTAGTGTTATATCATCCTCTCCTTATCTTCTTCCTTGACGGCCATTCATTCTGCATTATGCCTGAGGCGCGTCGTTGACAGGGTAGAGGAAGGGGAGGAAGAGGAGGGAAAGCAAAAGAGGAACCGCCAGCTAGAGCACGGCGGGATTATAGCTCAGAGGAGGAGGAAGAGGAGGAGCCACGAGGCTATGGCTGCCCAAGGCCATACCCTCGCTATTCGCTAGCAGGGTGGTACGAGAGTACCCCATCTCCTGACAAGATCGAGTTCCTCCGTAAAAAATTTGACGCGCGCTACGGTACACCTAGCGCCTCTTCACCTCCTTACATCCCTAGAGCTCCTTTCACCCTCGCTGCAAGCAAGGGCATAGTGCCTGCCCTACTTTCCTCTATCCCACGCACTGCCTCTTCACCTCATCACCCTAATCACTGCATTCTCTTCAGCATCTTCTTCCTTCTCTTTTTTTTCCAGCTCGAGGTCATGGTCGTCTTTTATGTCTTATACAAGCGTGATTTCTTCTCAACTTTCTGAGTCAGATTTCAGCTCACAAAATTTTCTGTTTACTGTTCACTTCATAGCATCCTAGGCCTAAGAGTTTTGGCTTCCTTAAGGCCAGGGATGCAGGTTCCTCGTGAACCAGGCCGGTTGTCGGCCACCAAATAAAATTTAAAAAGAATTTGGTCTGCTCGATTGACTTATTTTGCTGCTGGTCTTCCGTATGAAGGTTACCTTAACTCTTGACCAGGCATCTATGCCAGGGACGGCCCCAGTAACGAGGGTACTCACTCTGTCTGACATACTGGAAATAGAGCATACCAAACCCTCTTTTCTGTTCTCTGGCCTGAGTGAGACGTCTTCTCAACTTCTCAGACACTTAATGGGGATACCAAACCCTTGTTTTCTTTCTCTGTTCTGAGTGAGGCGCCTCCTCAACTTCTCAGATAAAAGGAAGGGGATACCAAACCCTTTTTCATTTTCTCTGGTCTGGGAACTTCAAATAAGTATTTGTATACCTGCGAAATCAGCAAGTCCACAGACAACAACCGTGTTCCAGCAAGCAAGCCGTCTAACAACCAGCAGTCAAACATTAACAAATTAAAATAAAACCCATAAATAAAATAATAAATAACAATTAATAATTAATACATAACAGTTCTTCACACCCAGGATTTATTGATTGCCTTAGTTTCGGCCCGCCACTGCCCAGGAATACCGGACGTCCCGTCAATTTGATATACCTCATTCGGCCCGCCACAGGCTAGAACTAGCCAGACCATTTGTCTTGACAGCCCCTTTGACCTACCTCTAGGTCAGGACCAGCATACCCACTACTCGAGTATGACAGCCTTTTGGCACTCTCGCCAGGACACCCAGACTATAGCGGGTCTGGCCACCCTATAGCGGGTCTGGCGACCCTATGACAGTAGACGTCCCGTCAGTCAAACTGTCCCGAACCCGGATTTGACCACTGCGGTCAGGGACCGACTCACCTACCAGTTTTTGGCCGAGGGCGTTGGCTGCCCCGCCCAGATTTTCGAGTGTAGGACCCGGTCTAACTACAACTCAAGGCTGTGGCTAACCTTACAGGATTGCATCCTCTTATTGCGGCAGGGTTCCAGCTGACCCCTTCCAA